CAAGATATTTAATATCATATCTACAGGGTGGCAAATTGGCTATGAATGTGCATGGGATTCTCACTTTGTCCAGGGCGATTAAAACTCTTATTCCTGCAAGGAGTATGGGATTGTCACTTTGTCCAGGGTGATTAAAATGCTGATTCCTGCCCTGCTTTACAGGATGATATCCAGAAAAGTTAAAGTCTCCTAGAGAATGAGTGTCTATGTTTAAAGACTCTTGGTCTGCAAGATTGCAGAGTCAGAGTCAGATGCTCCCTTAGCAGTGAATCAGCATGTTAGAGTCTAACTCCCAGGTAAAGTTAGACTCACTAACTAGCATCACCTGACCAATCCTTGTCTTCCCCCCTATAGAATGAGCTATTTGAGAGCTTACCAGAAGTCTATTGAGAGGATACCTTTTGCCCATGACCTTTAATTTCTAAGATCTTTGCTTTTTTCCCTTGGGTTACATGACCTTTAATTTCTAAGGTCGTTACTTTTTTCCCTTAGGTTACATGACCTTTAATTTCTAAGGTCTTTGTTTTTTTCCCTTAGGTTACCATGTGACCAATCCCTGTCTTCCCCCCTACAGAATGAGCTATTTGAGAGCTTATCAGAAATCTATTGAGAGGACACCCTTTGCCCATGACTTTTAATTTCTAAGGTCTTTGCTTTTTTCCCTTAGGTTGAGGTTCTGGCTCTGTCCTGTGGTCTTAGTCGGTGTTCCTCTGCCCATGTGGTCTCAACCTGTGTTGGATAGAGAGGAGAATCTCTCCTTAGGTTAGAATGGGAGCTGGCTTTAAGGAGCTTAGCCCTCTTTCATTCAGGTCTATAACCAAGGGAGTCATTGCCATCACACTAATGAATGAGAAGAGGATGATCTGCTATTGGTGAGTGTGCATGTGTGTGTAAAGCCACAGTCACAGGACTCCTTAATAACAGCTGGTCCCCTACTGCACTGGTACCCCATACCATATTCTTGTGCAGTGATATCAAAGGGCTGTACCTTATGACCTCGCAGGACACCTATCCCATATGTGAACATGGTAATCGTAGTACTCTCCAGGGAAGCAGTACTAACTGGATATATGTCAGAGTAAAAGGAAGCCAGCAACACAATTGTGGGTTAGACTGTAGTTTGACAGGAAGGACTATAATGTGAGTAATAATGTGGATATTACTGTTATATATGCTTGCTCATGTCAGCCTACTTCATTCTTTATGTTCATGTAGTTATTGTGGTTTGTATTCCATAATTCTGCATTACCCCAATATTGTCAATGAGGGAATAAGCTGATTTGAGTCAATTGTGAAATGTTTCTATTTGTTTGCTAGGTGAGTTCCATACATGTTGAAATTAAAAAATGAAAACTGTGATAACTATTCATGCAAAATGAATTAGAGAAAGTATCTGAGTGCTATACCATAGTTTTTGTTTTGATTAGTGGAAGTCAATGAATATTGAGGGGCAAAGACTGACATGACAGGTCTTTTCTTCATCCCATCGTGGAAGGAATCAGCATGACTGACAGCTGGGGCAAAGAAAAATCACTACATATATTGACAGGTGTAACCTTAATGTGAGAAATGTTCTATCCAGTGATATCTGTCGTTGACAAGATATCCACACTGTATTGGGTGATTTCAGTACTGTATCAAACTGCAATCAACTTAGTACCATTCCCATCATATTCTTCAATAACCTTTACACTGTACTGTATCACACACTCAAACAAAATTTATGTAACTTTGCTGACTGCAAGCAACTGTTGGAGAGGAGTATGATTCAATCAAGATGGACATTAATAAAGTAGAGAAAAGAGCAATTCAAACTTTATAACTGTAACTATATATCTCTATCAGTTATGTCTTTTCATGACTACAGTCTAACTGAGTGTCTGATGTCAGACAAGTGAAAGAAATTCATAGTACTCACTTGCCAAAGTAACTAATATAAGTTTTATTTAAAGTTTGTAATGAATGTCATTAGACTTGATGGTAAAATAATAACTTTTGAAATATAACAATCACTGAAAATATGATGAGTTTGATTAATATGCTGATAACTTGTTGATAAGATTATATATAAATACAGATAGTCCCCTACTTAAGAACATTCTACTTATGAGGATGGTCTCTATCATTTTGCATATCAATCCTCTTGTGTGTAAACACAGACAGAAATGTAACTGGATAACTGAAGGCTAATAAAATCATCACTGTTTCATCATCTTTGTTATCATATATTTATGACTAGCTGTAATTTCAACAACTCTGATAGTAAATTTGATTATGTACAAGAAAAATATATAAGATATCTACAAATATCTTCAGAGATTTTAACATAAACGGAATTACATGTTTTACTGAGGAAACACTACTACACAACAATAAGATCATCTCTGATTTGTTGATGCTGCTCTGTACTGTGCCCAAGGGTGGTCTGGCAGTTGCATACTTGATGCTTTCAGCCAGTTTTTATATTCTAGCAAGAAGAGCCTCATTCCTTTCAATCTGT